AGGGGATCCTACGCCTGACGCAGCAGGGGAGGCTAAGCTAGGCACACCTACACTAGGCAACAGTGAGTAATAAGTCGGAAGCACACTAGAGTCGTCAGCATACATCACATGCAGAGCAGAAACAATGGCATCCATGTCCATATCAAAGATCTGAATCTGACGACTAAGCAAACTGTGCCAGTCCGGGAGGTCTGGCGACGGGCCGAAACGCTGACGAAAGAGGTCGTCCAGGCGACGAAAGCAGCGGGGAGTGGAGTGACCGATCTTACCGCAAACGAAACCGCGGCGAGGACCGGTCTGGATCTGGTACTGACAACGCCCGCCGGCAGAGCCACCACGCGGCACACCACCACGCGCCCGTCCACCGCCAGCGCCGGGCCACCCTGGCGGGAGAACACTCGTCTGCCGCGTCTGCGACGGCTGCTGCGGCTGCTGCGAAGGCTGCGACTGCGGCGGCTGCTGCGGCTGCTGCAACTGCAGGGGCGGCGACTCAGCTGGACTGGGCAGGGTCCCCTCGTCCGCTCCAGCACCAGGCGACCCGACCCCACCACTTCCCCCGCCCGCACCCCCGCCGCCCCCTTCGCCGCGCCCAGCCTTGGGGCGGCGGCCCTTCCCAGAACGGGCCTGCGCTGCAGCAGCAGTCTCAGCCACTGCGGCAGAGCCGTCGGAGAAGGTACACTGAGCGGGGGCACAACCCTGAAAGATAGGGACCGGCACGACACCGCTCGCCTGGGCGATGGAGCGGTGACGGGTCTCTATCACAGTCAGGGTGTCGACAAAGTCAGTGAGGGTGAGGTCTGCGGGGTGAACACTAAGGAAGCGGTCGCGGGCGACAGCAAGGCGGTCAGGGAGGCGGGTGGCAAGCAGGTAGAGGGTAGAGGTAATGGGCGGCTGGTGGGCTCTAAGCTGTGCATCAGTGCAGGCGGCGCGCCAGGTCTCCTCTATCGAGCGCAGGTGGGCAGCGAGGTCAGAGACAGTGGGGAACGAAGCAAGGTCAGGAAAGAGCAGCGGGAGGATCAGGCGACCCACCGAGGCAGCCGGAGGGGTGGAATAGCGCTTGATGACAGCATCTAAGTATGCCTGAGCAGTAGTGAGGGACCTAAAGCGAGGACGCTCGGACGGGGGGAGGGCGTTGCTAATGGCAAGCTGGGCGACAGCATCGCGAGAAAGCCAGACAGAGCGCGCACGGGCAGTGGCAGCAGTAGACTCACGCTCAGTGGGTGTGGGGTCAGCGGGCAGAATAGCAGGAGGGTCTGGGCAGGGGAGCGTACCGTCAAGGTGTGCGGAAAGCGGTTCACCATCCTGCCGCTGGCCAGTGAGTTGGCGGCGGAGGTCGGCAAGCCACGCCTCGAACTCTAGGGGCTGACCTTCAGCGTCGAAGCGAAGCTCCGCCGCCATCAGGAACAGTCCAGTGCTGTGCAGGGCGGTGCAGTGCGGTGCAGTGCGATACAGTGCGGTGCAGTGCGGTGCTGTGCGGTACTGTGCGGTACAGTGCGGTGCAGTGCGGTGCAGTGCGGTGCAGTGCGGTACAGTGCGGTGCAGTGCGGTGCAGTGCGGTGCAGGGCGGCACGGAGCAGGGCGGGGTGGGGGGGGGGGGGGGGGGGGGGGGGGAACCGTACCAGTGAGGAGGACGGGGCCGGGGCTGGCCCGCAAGGCCTGGCGGGCGCGACGGGGCCGGGCTGATGCGACAGGGCCGGGACGGGGCGACGGGGCCGAGCGGGCGCGACGGGGCCGGGCTGGGGCGACGGGGCCGGGCGAGTGCGGCAGGGCCGGGCCGGTGCGACGGGGCCGGGCGAGCGGGACGGCGGCCGGGCTGGTGCGACGGGGCCGGGCGGCTGTGACGGGGCCGGGCAGGGTGCGACGGGGCCGGGCGGGTGCGACGGGGCCGGGCGGCTGCGACGGGGCCGGGCGAGCGCGACGGGCCGGGCAGGGTGCGACGGCGCCGGGCGGGCGCGACGGGGCCGGGCGGCGGCGACGGGTACGACGCGGCCCAGGAGGGGCGCTACGGGGCCCAGGAGGGGCGCTACGGGGCCCAGGAGGGGCACGACGGGGGGCCCAGGAGAGGCGCTACGAAGCCCAGGAGGGGCGCTACGGGGCCTGGGAGGGGCGCGACGGGGCCTGGGAGGGGCGCGACGAGGCCCAGGAGGGGCGCTACAGGGCCCAAAGAGGGCGCGACGGGGCCCAGGAGGGGCGCTACGGGGCCCAGGAGGGGCGCTACGGGGCCCAGGAGGGGCGCTACGGGGCCTAGAAGGAGCGCGACGGGGCCTAGGAGGGGCGCGACAGAGCCGAGGAGGGGCGCGACGAGGCCTGGGAGGAGCGCGACGGGGCCCAGGGGGGGGCGCTAGGGGGCCTGGGAGGAGCGCGACGGGGCCTGGGAGGGGCGTGACGGGGCCTGGGAGGGCGTTACAGGGCCCAGGAGGGGCGCTACGAAGCCCAGGAGGGGCGCGACGAGGCCCAGGAGGGGCGCTACGGGGCCCAGGAGGGGCGCGACGGGGCGCTACGGGGCCTGGGAGGAGCGCGACGGGGCCCAGGAGGGGCGCTACGGGGCCCAGGAGGGGCGCGACGGGGCGCTACGGGGCCTGGGAGGAGCGCGACGGGGCCCAGGAGGGGCGCTAGAGGGCCTGGGAGGGGCGCAACGGGGCCTGGGAGGGGCGCGACGGGGCCTGGGAGGGCGGTACAGGGCCCAGGAGGGGCGCTACGAGGCCTAGGAGGGGCGCTACGGGGCCTGGGAGGAGCGCGATGGGGCCCAGGAGGGGCGCTAGGGGGCCTGGGAGGAGCGCGACGGGGCCTGGGAGGAGCGCGACGGGGCCCAGTAGGGGCGCTAGGGGGCATGAGCGGAAGCGGTAGGTGGGGGGGGGGGATCCTACCTACGCTCTGATACCATATCAGAATAATTGAATGAAGGTAAAGTGAGAGTACACACAAATATATCTAAGTTTTGTATCCTCTAAGAGGTGACTCTATACAGTCTATACAAACATGACAAATACACATGTTTGATATGGACTACCCAGGGCTGACGTTATCAGACTATTTACTCTGATTAGTCTGAAATCTCAGACCTATTTTTTGGCCAAACCTGAATTTCCAGATAAGGCATTTTCCCAATCCTGATCCCTTCAGAGTACGATTCTAGGGATCCTGAGAAAATCAGAGTTGTCGCAAACCCAGTACTGAGTTTTCAGAGCACATCGCGTACAGACCGACTCATTACCTGTACAGTACCAACCTTCGAAAATTTTGGTGAAGTCCGCAATCGCTAGAGACATGCCCCACATACCCCACAACCCCTAAAACTTTTCGGCCAAGTCCCCGAACCCTAGAGACAACCCCCATCCCACACCCCACAACCCATCTAAAATTTCGGCGAAGTCCCGGAACGCTAGAGACATCCCCCACACACCCCACAACCCACCCTAAATTTCGTCTAAGTCGTGTTGTCAGATACAGTCCTCCCTAACACCTTGAACAACCCAGAAGTTTTGAATGAGACTTTCACTTTTTTTTGAACTGCATTGAAATGAGAGTAAATTCCGCATTTTTAACATAGGGAAATTCTCGCCAGTTGCCCGTTTGGTCAACTAAAAGTCTAACAAAATTTAACGATCACGATCGTTTGCGATCGTTTCGACGTATATCAATCGTTCGATGTCATATAGCGATTAACGTCCAAGATTTCCCAACCGGGGCGCTGCAAGGGCGCGAAATTTCTCCCACCCTCCTATTCCCCAGCTTCCCCCCTCCCTGCCGTTTCGATTCCCCCCTTCCCCTCCATTTTCGCTTCCCCCTCCCCTCCGTTTCGATCACTTCCCCCCTTCCCCTCCGTTTCGCTTCCCCCATCCTTTCCGTTTCGACCGCCCCCCCCTTCCCCCCCCTCCCCTCCGTTTCGCTTCCCCCCTCCCCTCCATTTTGATTCCCTCCCCCATTTCCCCGTCAGGCTCGATTCCACCTCTCAGTTTCGATTTCCGTGGCAGTGCGATTTTACCCCCTCCGTTTTTAGGAATGACTTCCCCGTTTCCCACATTTAACAACTACGCAAAACGAGAGTATGACAAGGTTGCTAGTTGGGGGGGCCCGGGCTGTGGGAGGATTTTTAATGCTGCAAGGAACTTAGCCGATTTTTTGGGAGGTGTAGGAGGGAGGGATGTTTCTCGCTGTGGGGGTGTTTCCCGTGTGTGATTCTGGTTGTACGTCCTGGACCCTGAAAAAATCAGACTCGCTGAGTTCTGGACCCTGACATTTCAGACTACAAAAATTTCGGCTGAAGGCCCTTCAGACTATTTTTTTTTTTAGGGAGATTGGCTCAGAGTGCCTTTTTTTGAAACGTCAGCCCTGGGACTACCGTAATCCCCCGGATAATGGACCCGCCGGTAAGAAAGTCCATGGGTCCTTTACCCGGGGGTGGGATCATTTATTTTGGCAGACCCCGTGAGGACCCGCTTTGTGGCATTTAAGATTTGAGGACCCCCCAGCTGTGTTTTCTTGTAGGATTTTGCACTGTAAGAATAGAAACTGCTGCTGATGCTTAACTGTACGGTTGGTGCTGCGTGTTCTTACAAGCCTCTTCCCAGCCTCCTCTTCCCGAGATCGGCCCTTGACTTAGAGTATGTTTGAAAGAACGTTTTTTCAATCCATTCCGTTTCAGAATCGCGTTCTCAATCGCAATGAATCAGCTCGCGTCGAACTCGCACTGTACGGATTTGCGCTCGTCTGAAAAATACGAGCCTGAAATCAGGTTTGGAAACACACCTTGAATCTCGATGATCCCAACCGTGCGTCACACCACTCGGAACCGCACTGAACTGCTTTGCGTCACAATTACGCGACACTGTAGCGAGCAAGTCTGGGAAGAGGTTGGCTGGGAAGAGCCCGCAGGAACACGCTCTAGCAGTGTGGGTGACGGCAGTCAAGATGCCATCGCGCCACGCCAGCACACGACATTTGACGCGTGTCATTCTGCTGGTGCGGAAAGATGATGCTAAGAGGGTTATGTTTCCGCGGTACAAATGCTGTACATCCAGCACAATAGACACTTAAGTGTAAAGTATGTGAACATGGGTCCTAATAATTTCCATCCACATTAATGTCCACCTTGACACCTTTTCCTGTAATTCTAAGAAGACCATAGGGTCCAATAGCCGGGGGATTACGGTAGTAGTGCCGCCCTGGTCTTGTTCTTGTTTTGCCTGTTCTTCTTTTGACTGGTCTTTAGACCCTTGTCTCAGTGGCTTCCAGAAGCAACCACCGGACTGCAACAGCATCTGCAGCAATCGCTAGGACTACCAGCTTCACGAAGCAGCATCAGTTGCAGCAGCAGCAGCAGCATGAGCGGCGTGTTGAGCTCGGATTTGAGTGGAAGAGATGTCGGCTCGGAAGCTGGACTCTGGTATGACGCGGAAGAGAACGCGTAGGAACTCAGGCACCACAAGACTGTCGGACGACTGGAAGAGAGAGGGGTCCAGGGGCACAGCGCATTTCCACAGCACATTTTCACAGCACGTGCGTGATGGGATTGACAGTACGAGGAAGGTCATATGCCCCATCCACGTCTACCACTATGGCTATGCACTACTATGCAGCATGAACAAGCCACACCTGCATGGCTCCCACGCCGTGCAGCAAGCGAGCCTGCCACGCGCAGCAAGTAGCCCTCTCTGTGGTGGTGCTGCTGCTTGACGGGTAACCAGTAACACAGTCTACCCCAAAACGGTTTGCGGCGGCCATATGAGGCGCACCAGGAAAGGTCGCATAGCTGTGTACCTGGAATGTGGAGCCAACAAGCCGGCCGGCAACGAGGAAATCACAGCCGGTGCGGGCAATGCCGTGCAGCACCCCCATCATGCTCTCATGGCTGTTGCCATAATACTTTGGCTGGGGGGGGGAGGTGGAGAGAGGGGGGGGCGGGGGGGTTTTAAGGGAGGGGAAAAAGGGCCCGAACGGGAGAACGAGAAGAAGGCTGGCTGTGATCAGTTTTGAAGTAACCCATGCGGGCAATGCCGTGCAGCCCAACCTATCATGCGGGCAATGCCGTGCAGCCCAACCTATCATGCGGGCAAAGCCGTGCAGCCCAACCAATCATGCGGGCAATGCCGTGCAGCCCAACCTATCATGCGGGCAATGCCGTGCAGCCCAACCTATCATGCGGGCAATGCCGTGCAGCCCAACCTATCATGCGGGCAGTGCCGTGCAGCCCAACCTATCATGCGGGCAATGCCGTGCAGCCCAACCTATCATGCGGGCAATGCCGAGCAGCCCAACCTATCATGCGGGCAATGCCGTGCAGCCCAGCCTATCATGCGGGCAATGCCGTGCAGACCAACCTATCATGCGGGCAATGCCGAGCAGCCCAACCTATCATGCGGGCAATGCCGTGCAGCCCAACCTATCATGCGGGCAATGCCGAGCAGCCCAACCTATCATGCGGGCAATGCCGTGCAGACCAACCTATGATGCAGGCAATGCCATGCAGCCCAACCTATCATGCGGGCAATGCCGTGCAGCCCAACATATCATGCGGGCAATGCCGTGCAGCCCAACATATCATGCGGGCAATGCCGTGCAGCCCAACCTATCATGCGGGCAATGCCGAGCAGCCCAACGTATCATGCGGGCAATGCCGTGCAGCCCAACCTATCATGCGGGCAATGCTGTGCAGCCCAACCTATCATGTGGGCAATGCCGTGCAGCCCAACCTATCATGCGGGCAGTGCCGTGAAGCCCAACCTATCATGCGGGCAATGCCGTGCAGCCCAACCTATCATGCGGGCAATGCCGAGCAGCCCAACCTATCATGCGGGCAATGCCGTGCAGACCAACCTATCATGCGGGCAATGCTGTGCAGCCCAACCTATCCTGCAGGCAATGCCGTGCAGCCCAACCTATCATGCGGGCAATTCCGTGCAGCTCAACATATCATGCGGGCAATGCCGTGCAGCCCAACGTATCATGCGGGCAATGCCGTGCAGCCCAACCTATCATGCGGGCAATGCTGTGCAGCCCAACCTATCATGTGGGCAATGCCGTGCAGCCCAACCTATCATGCGGGCAGTGCCGTGAAGCCCAACCTATCATGCGGGCAATGCCGTGCAGCCCAACCTATCATGCGGGCAATGCCGAGCAGCCCAACCTATCATGCGGGCAATGCCGTGCAGACCAACCTATCATGCGGGCAATGCTGTGCAGCCCAACCTATCATGCAGGCAATGCCGTGCAGCCCAACCTATCATGCGGGCAATTCCGTGCAGCTCAACATATCATGCGGGCAATGCCGTGCAGCCCAACCTATCATGCGGGCAATGCCGTGCAGCCCAACCTATCATGCGGGCAAAGCCGTGCAGCCCAACCTATCATGCGGGCAATGCCGTGCAGCCCAACCTATCATGCGGGCAATGCCGTGCAGCCCAACCTATCATGCGGGCAATGCTGTGCAGCCCAACCTATCATGTGGGCAATGCCGTGCAGCCCAACCTATCATGCGGGCAGTGCCGTGAAGCCCAACCTATCATGCGGGAAATGCCGTGCAGCCCAACCTATCATGCGGGCAATGCCGAGCAGCCCAACCTATCATGCGGGCAATGCCGTGCAGACCAACCTATCATGCGGGCAATGCTGTGCAGCCCAACCTATCCTGCAGGCAATGCCGTGCAGCCCAACCTATCATGCGGGCAATTCCGTGCAGCTCAACATATCATGCGGGCAATGCCGTGCAGCCCAACGTATCATGCGGGCAATGCCGTGCAGCCCAACCTATCATGCGGGCAATGCTGTGCAGCCCAACCTATCATGTGGGCAATGCCGTGCAGCCCAACCTATCATGCGGGCAGTGCCGTGAAGCCCAACCTATCATGCGGGCAATGCCGTGCAGCCCAACCTATCATGCGGGCAATGCCGAGCAGCCCAACCTTTCATGCGGGCAATGCCGTGCAGCCCAACCTATCCTGCGGGCAATGCCGAGCAGCCCAACCTATCATGCGGGCAATGCCGTGCAGACCAACCTATCATGCGGGCAATGCTGTGCAGCCCAACCTATCATGCAGGCAATGCCGTGCAGCCCAACCTATCATGCGGGCAATTCCGTGCAGCTCAACATATCATGCGGGCAATGCCGTGCAGCCCAACCTATCATGCGGGCAATGCCGTGCAGCCCAACCTATCATGCTGTCATGGATGCTGGCAGCGTAGAACTTTGGCTGGTGGCGGATAAAGGGAGGGGAGACAGGCGACGAGCAAAGGCGAATGGCGAATGGGTGAAGGGCGAATGGCGAATGGGCGGAGGGAAGATGGAGACAGGCTCTGAGAGACTGAGTCAGTTCGAAAAATCGAACAGCAGCAACATCACCAAGGCACATTTTTTAGTCGACTAAAAAATCATCAACAGCAGCAACATCACCTAGGCACATTCTTCGGGTCAAGCTTCTCGAGGCACGCTTCAGAAGAAGACAAGGCATAAGAGCGGCACTCACGAGACACATCGAGCAAACGAAACGCGGAGTCATGGCCGATAAGGAAGGTCAAATGGGGGAGGTGCGGCAGGCCTTTTGTTTGGGACCATCAAAGCTAGAGCGGCACTCACGTCGAGCAAGCGCACCGCAGTGTCGTAGCCGATAACAAAGGTGGAGTGGTGGAAGAGCGACGCCTTGCTGGCAAAGAGAGGCAGCCGGGTCACCACCACCATGTGACCTGTGGGGCAGGCGGGCCGGGGAGGGAGAAGAGGGTTGGGGGGGGAGGGAGGAGACTAGTAGCTTTTGAGGTGACGCAAAAGTCACCCCGGTTGGGTCACTGCCACTATGTGGGGGGGAAACCAGTGTGGCGCATAAGATGCCTCATTGGAGCATGATATGCGCCTGCAGTCTGGAGAATGAGTGAGAGTATGAGAGAGAGTGAGAGTATGAGAGTGAGTATGAGAGTATGCGAGAGTGTGAGTGTGCGAGTATGCGAGTATGAGTAAGAGAGTATGCAAGCATGTGCGTACCGTGTGCAGTGAACTGGTCGACTCGCCTCTCCACCTCGTCCACGGGAATAGCTCCCTTGTCCGCATTCCATGCCGCCATCTCGTAGCATGGCACCCCACCCGGTACCTCCCTGCCCACGCAGGGAAAGGAAGGGGAGGGATGGGAAGGGATGGGATGGGATGGGATGGGATGGGATGGGAATGGGATGGGATGGGATGGGATGGGATGGGAATGGGATGGGAATGGGATGGGATGGGATGGGATGGGATGGGATGGGATGGGATGGGATGGGATGGGATGGGATGGGACAGCAACCACCGCACTCACCTCAGTGCAGCCGCCATGAGGTCAGTGTGCCCCTGGTGCAGCGGGTTGAAGGAACCGCACAGCACCACTCTGCGCCCTTCCCCTGCTGCCCCCCACCTGCTCGCCCAGGATGGAGCGGCTGAAGTGAGGAGGGGGGGGAGGAGAAGGGTGGAGAGGGGAGGAGAGGGGAAAGAGAGGGGGGGAGAGGGGAAAGAGAGTGGGGGAGAGGGGAAAGAGAGGGGGAGAGGGGAAAGAGAGGGGGGAGAGGGGAAAGAGAGGGGGAGAGGGGAAAGAGAGGAGGGAGAGGAGAAAGAGAGGGGGGAAGAGGGGAAAGAGAGGGGGGAGAGTGGGCAGGTGGGCAGAAGGAGACATGGCAGAAAGCGAAGGGGGAGGGGGGGGGTGGGTAACAAGCAAACTGCCTTTTGAAAAAGCGAATCCCCATACCAAAAGCAGGCAGGCAGGCACTCCTAATGCAGACAGCAAGCCGTACCAAAGACAGCAACCCCTACCAAAGACAGCATACGGCACTCGCCCCTCGAGCACCTCCCGTATCTGCTCCCCCCGCCCCACCACCGCTGCTGCCTCCTCAGCTCCATCCCCCCGCCCCTCCCCCACCGCCACCCCCCCCGCCACTGCTGGCAGCCCCATGCTCGCTGCTAGCGCCTGGGGGGGGAGGGGGAAGCGGAGGACAAAGGACCCTTCACACACATAGCTAAAATTGATTCTTCATAGAACTCTAAAAATAATTTACCTACAACACATTGGTGACACGTGCCATTGGAGAATCCTTTCAGAGGCCCCAAACACGCCGAGTGAGCCTCGGATAAGCTGTAACGGCCTCTGATTATCTGGCTTGCGGAGCAGTGTGGCACTGCACGTGGCTGAAGCACGTACCCGGATGACGAGGCGACTGGCCATGTCATCCTCCTGCTGCCGGGACCGCAGAGCCTCCTGCGGGGTTGCCGTGGGGGAGATAAGGCAAGGCCATGAAGACAAGGCAAGGCAAGGGAGATATGCAAAGAGGGGTGATAAGACGGAGAGAGCCGAAGGAGAGCAAGGAGGGGGACCGTGGGCCCAGTAAGAAGCTGTAAGATATAATCTATGATTAAGTTAAAATCTTGGGAGGTGGAGTGGGAGAGCGAAGGGAGGAGATTCGGGATGTTGGGCAGCAAGAAGCTCATCGCATGCTGAGTAGACGATCGGCATACAAAGGGCATGGCAATGTGCATGCCGTCATAGTCTGTGATGAGAAACGGCATGGCACATGACTCATGGTGTTTAACGAACGAGGGATTTCACATGACACGTGCATTCATGACGTGATAAGGGGGGGGGACAGTGTGACCTTGGATAGGTGCAGGGAGTATTCCCAGAGCATGCCTTGCGACCGGGCGGCGATGTGACACCTGGCATGGCAGGCACCATACACCAGGGTTGTATTGGGGGGGTGAGATACCACAGAACTGTGATAAGGTGTGGTGAGTTGAGATGAGATGACATGCGACGAGACTAGACTCTGGGTTAATCATAACCCATGGCCTGCAGGGACATGGCCCACAGGGCCATGTCCCATGAATAAACCCCAGGAGACTATGAGTCACGGCCTATACCCTACGCCACCTCCCCCAATGCCCCATCCCCCATGGTCCATACCCCATGCCCCATGCCCCATGCCCCATGCCCCATGCCCCATGCCCCATGCCCCATGCCCCATGCCCCATGCCCCATGCCCCATGCCCCATGCCCCATGCCCCATGTACCACTCCCCATGCCGTTGTGTTTTGAGTCGACTCAAAACATCCCCATGCCCCAATACATGACTCCCCGCCACCTGCCCCCCCACCTGTGCGCGCCTCTCTTGGGCGCACTGGACACCAGCGCGCATGTGCACCCGATGCCCACCACTGGCTGCGCTGGTGGGGGGAAGGGGGCGAACGCAGGGGGGATAGGGTGACGGAACCGGGGGGGAGGGGTGGGGGGGTGAGGGGGGGAGAGTGAGTGGTGGTGGTGGAAGAAACGAGTGCGAATGACTTGGGGAAAGGCTGCAAGGGGAGAAAGTGGGGGATGGGCGAGAGGGAGGGAGGGGAGAGGAGAGAATGTAGGAAAGGAGGCAAAGAAACAGGAGCAAGCGCAGTAGCGGGGGGAGCAAGCATACCGATGGGAGCGAGAGTGAGAGCTCGACTGTACGATGCGAAGGCGAGCTGCTGTGCTGCTGCCCGGCTCACATACTGCAGGAGATGAAGGGCAGGGGGGGGAGGTAGAGAGGGGGGGGGAGAAAGAGAGGGGGGGGGAGGAAGAGAGGGGGGGGAGAAAGAGAGGGGGGGGAGAAGGAGAGGGGGGGGGTTGAAGAGAGGGGGGGGGAGGAAGAGAGGGGGGGAGGAAGAGAGGGGGGGGGAGGAAGAGAGGGGGGGGGGAGGAAGAGAGAGGGGGGGAGGACGAGAGGGGGGGGGGAGGAAGAGAGGGGGGGGAGGAAGAGAGGAGGGGGGGAGGAAGAGAGGGGGGGAGGAAGAGAGGGGGGGAGGAAGAGGGGGGGAGAGGAAGAGAGGGGGGGGGAGGAAGAGAGGGGGGGGAGGAAGATAGGGGGGGGGGAGGAAGAGAGAGGGGGGGGAGGAAGAGAGGGGGGGGAAGGAAGAGAGGGGGGGGGAGGAAGAGAGGGGGGGGGGAGGAAGAGAGGGGGGGAAGGAAGAGAGGGGGGGGGGGAGGAAGAGAGGGGGGGAGGAGGAAGAGAGAGGAGGGGGGGAAGAGGAGTCGGAGGAAGGGGGAAGGAAGGAGGAGCGGGAAGAGCAGGAGGAGGGAGTGTGGGGAGGGAGCTAGTGCAGTACCACGAGATGGCGTGGGGCGTTTGTTCGTGTGTTAGTAACTTCATAGGTGAGAGTTGAGAATTCCCAAATATCATGTACAACATTGAGACGTCTCCAGACGGGGTGTTGTGGAAGCTCAAGACGGGGGGGAGGAGTTGGAGGAAGGGAGTGCGAGGAGGGAGCCAGTGCTCATGGAGTTAGTGCAGTGTCGCGCAACGGCGTGGGGCGTTCGATCGAATGACTTCCTACGTGAATGAAAGGGCACGGAGCATCAAGTGTAACACTAGAGGATGTGATGTGAGGCGATTCGATGCAATGTGATGTGATGTGATGCGATGCCATGCCATGCCATGCCATGCGATGTGATGTGATGTGATGTGATGTGATGTGATGTGATGTGATGTGATGTGATGTGATGTGGCGTGACTATGGTACGCTGCAAAACTGTTCCAACACATCAGGCAATGTATGAAAGGCATGGCATGCCCCCCGCATGATCATCTTCCTCTCCTCGTCAACCCCCTCTGCCACCCCCCACACCTCCACAAACGCCCAATCAGGCAATGTATGAGACGGCGTGGCATGCCCACCATATGACCATCTTCCCCCTCCTCGTCACCCCCCTCCGCCACCCCCCACATCGCCACACCACAAGCACCCAATTAATCCCCCATTTTCCCACTTCCCGCCTCCTCCCCTCAACTCACCTGTCTAGCTTGCTGCTTTTGCGATCCATCCACACCACCCTTTCCCTCCTCCCCCCCGGCCCCCCATCCCTCCTCCGCACTCCCCTCCGCCCGCCCGTCCTCCCCCCGCGCCTGCACAATCAGCTGCGCCTGCTGCACCTGCGCCTGCGCGTGCCACGTGGCGTCCACGTACTGGTCGAAGGCGCGCTGCGAGTACGGCAGCACAGCCTCCAGGACGGTTTGCGACGCGCCTGGCACCGCCACTAGCCACCCCACGGCCTTATAACGGGGATGGGGACAAGACAGAGTGGGTGGGGAACGGGGTTGCTTGATGACAGAGGAGGCAGCCGCCATTGGCGGTAGGGCAAGCGCCATTGGCGGTAGGGCAAGCGTCATGGGCGGAAGAGCAAGCGCCACTGGCGGCAGCGCAAGCGCCACTGGCGGTAGCGAGCCATTGGCGTTTCTCGTATATCCTGCAGCATAGCGGCGAGCAAATGATTATATTCGAGAAACGGCAGGCGCAAGGCGGATCGGGGCACGCGGAGAAGCGAAAACAGGCGTGCCCGCGTGCGACGCGGCTAGAGGGAGGGAGCGACACTAGACTGGTAGCGCAGCGGATGCGGCAGGCCTACCTGCGACGCGCCTCCCGTGACGGCAATCACGGCACGGGCTGGCGCCGCGTGGATTGCGGAGATTGCGGAGAGAAGCGCGGGCTCCATGGGGACAACGGGTGGCGAGAGGAGATCACAATGCGGAATGGGCAGGTCGGCGTGACGCCATGCTGAACAGTTGCGGTGATGTTCGCAAGAACATTTTGTTGAATGGGGCCTCGGGTGGGGCAACATTTTGTTGGATTTCACCCAGATAAAGAGTGACTCGCTAGGGTGCAGTATAATCGTCTGTCACCAATCGTCATAAAAACAATTGTTACCCCAAATGATATACTATTATACCAAATATGTTTCATGTAGGAGATACTCAATAAAAAATCCAACTACACATGAGCAAATCGATGTGTTCAACCTTCAACCCTGGTTTGGTACCAGTAAAAACACGCAGAGAATCATGAGGTTAGATGAGGTTCTAACTGGGCTGGGTAAGAGGTTGCAGCAGCTGTAAGGCAGCAAAGGAATCACTATCTTGCACGCCCAGAGTAAGTGGGTCAAATGTCACCTCATTCGTGAGCTCCACCTACACAAGGCAACACCATGGTATGGCAGTCATATAGGATAAGACACCATAAGACGAAGACATCGTACATAGAGTCATAGACTTCTCTTCTCCATAGAGGAGCATATTGGTAGTGACGAAAAGGTATGCATCGACTGTGAGGCATGCACTGACCAGGAGACGGGGGCGCATGGAGTCACAGAGGCCGTGGGCGACGGCAGGGAAGGACGTGACGGCCACCACGGTCACACTGCGGTTCATCATGTCACTCATCAGCCGCCGCGCATTGGCTGCTGCCAGCTCCAGGGTCTGGAGGGGCCGAGGTGCGGGCGGAGGGAGAACGTCAGGGTGGGGTGGGGGGAGAAGGCGGCGGGGGGGGGGAGGAGGGGATTCATGCATGAACAGGTGAGGACACCAGCTAGGGGAGAATGATACGGAAGGAGAGAGAATACAAGAAAAGGTAGCCGCCACCATTGTCAGGCTGCGGTCCATCATGTTGCTCAGCAGCCGCCGCGCGTTGGCTGCGGCCAGCTATAGGGCCTCGGGGGGGGTGACGTTGCGAGGGGAGGGGGAACGTCAGAAGGGGGGTGAGGAAGTTTGTGAATGAACAAGTGAGGACACTGCCTAAGGGAGACTGATATACGGAAGGAAGGGAATGGAAGACAAAGGTGGGGGCGAGGGCCGGGAAGGGGAGGAGGAAAGAGGAGGGGGGGGGTGGGGGGGGTGGGTGGGGGGACTGACACTCATGGTTGCGGAGAGCTCCATGAGCTTGTCATCCCGTGGCATGAACTGCCCTGCTCCCATGCCACTCTCGCGTATCTGTGCACCACATGCCACACCATCGCACCATCACATGCACACCATCACAGCACAACATGCATATCATCACAGCACAGCATAGGAACCATGCAGAAGGCAATGGTTTGCAATGAGACAGCACCCACATTGTCTATGCTACTCCACCTCAGCCACAGCACCCAGCTTCTCTCCTGCCTCACTCAAACCGCGAGCCACTGACTCTACAAGCCGTAAGCGTCAAAACACATGAGTTTTGCATACAAATACATCCTTCAATTTTCTAAACGACCACCTCCCACTTCCCCTACCGGTTCCATCACCCCCTGCCATCTCTTCCCCTCCCCTCTCCCCTCCCCAACACACCCCCGCCCCCCCACCCCCACCCCCTAGCCGCACGGAGCATCTAAAGCTCCTCCCGACCTCATCCCGACCTTGGTGCCATCGTAGTAGATGGCGACAGTGGAGGCGGAGTAGCTGACGGGCAGGAAGTTGGGGTTCTTTGCGCGCACCAGCAGGCGCACAGTGAGGTCCAGGGACAGCACCGGCAGGCCCAGCTGGCGAGGTGAGGGGGGAAGGGAAGGAGAAATGGGGGGAAGAGATGGAGAAAGGGGGAGGTGGGAGGGGAGGGGGGTGGGGGGGGGGGTTTCATGGAAGGACGTTACGTGTCACACGAGGATTTTTTGGCACCAGGCAGAAACACGGGAAGGAGTAATGGAAAAATCCAGGGCTGGCTGGGAAATATATTTTTTAACAGCAACCAGTTGCAGCAGAATTGGTTGGGGAAAGACACGCTGTGTAGATTCATTAACAGGGTGAAACAGGCAAAGACTTTTAGCATGATAGCAAAACTGAAGAACATAGAATTAGAGCCAACTATGAAAGTAAACGGTAAGTGGAAGTTTCACCTTTGTAGTGACATGGACACTGACGCCTGCGATGCTAATTACTTCCACCTGTGCTCAATCCGACGTGGCACGCAGCGGAAGTAAGGACTAGACGTGAAGCCCTTCTACAACAGACAAACAAAGAAACAACCAAACAAAAAACGGTGTACTAATAGCGAAGCGAAATTAAGGGGAGGAGATCCAAGAGGAGCCAAGAGAAGCAAAAGGAGAGGCAGGGAGAGCAAGGGGTGCTATCGTGCCTTGACGACTGGGTTTCTCGGCCAGAGCCGGTACACCAGAGCACCTATCGCTGACGACACGATCACCGCTGCTACCACGGCTCCCGCTACCGCTCCTGCTGCCGCCATCTTGTCTACCCCAAATATGCTACTAAAACGCTGAATAAATTTGCGTCGGCGAGACTGAGAGGCGTAGCAAACCGGGTCTCCCGGGGGGGAGAGGGGCTCTTGGCGAGGAGCCGCAAAAGAGAAGCGCACGAAGCCCGTCGTGTGCCGTCACAACGAGTATCCGAGCATTCGCTGCTAAGAACCGCGTCTGCTGAGACCTGCTCCCTCCTGGTTTCGTGTCGGCTCCTGTACCGCCCTCCCCAAGGCATCGTATCCCGCGTGGATCGTCTCAGGAAGCTGGAAAATGAATGGCTGTGCATTCGAGTTGCGTTGCGATGCCACCGACGCAATAGGGCGATAAGCTCAGGCTTCGGCCGTGCATGGCGGTATATGTTGTGGCGTCGAAGCGCGAGGCCATCCTGCCTTCGCCTCGAATCGAGAGTGCCACAATACTCGGTTTCACAACAAATCCGAGCAAAAAAAAACAAGAGACGACGAAATGGTCTTAGGGTTTCGGAGCTCTATAGTGTTATGATAAATTATTTCCATTCAAGTAATTGATTTTATCATGGTAATTTTTGGCTATAAATTATTTCATTATTGTAACAATTTTTTAGAAATAATATTGCAAATCATTTAATCAAATAATGTTAATAATTTAGATGATATAACATTCGAAAGTGTACATGCATTTTCTGTGATTTCATATGTATATACTCATAAATATGTTGTTGAATTCGCCCACTGCCAAGTGCTGGTTTTTCTATTTCCCTGCTTTGGATTCTTATGATAATTTTCTTATATATTTCCGTCCCCAGCTGTATTGTTTCTTTTTTCATTACGCTACAGTTCTTCCTTTATTATCGTTGTCGTTTTCATGTTAATTTCGTTTCCGTTTTCGTTTTCGGTTTCGTCACTCTCGCTACTGGCCGCATCTCTTCTCAATTTGTTTTGCCTTCCCAGTGGCGAAATTTGGCACTTGCCAGGTTTTGTTTTTTGCACCTAGTGGCGAGGCTCGTCACGCGAACCATTCGCTGACGGGAAATACTGTATCCGTCCAGTGGCGCCGAAATTTCATTGCCACTTGCGCCACAGTTCGGTTATTTTTTTTCCCCGTCAAATCGCGCTTATCATGTTCAGCGACGCGAATTACTTAAAGCCCGACCAGCAGGTTGCAACTCTCTTTTTCTCAAGAGGCTGCATCTTGAGAACCTGTAACCGAACCCACCCGCAGCAGTGGTTGACGAGACGCCAACACCTCAACTCTGTGCCTTGACAAACTTGGCAAGTTTGCGTCCCTGCCAAGTATCGAGGTGAACAAGCACGAAGTGTGCTCAAAGGGTAATTACTCGTACAAATTTTCACTTTCAGACAGTTTAGCGCAAGTGTACCAATGTGTGTTTGATTGCACAAGGGCGGAACCGAAGCCCAATAGTTGAGTCTCGTTTCCTTTCAACTTGCCCTAACAAAAACAAAATCGATGTGGGCTGTTAGCGCAAAAACGCAGGCACGAAAACCCCCCTTGCAACATGGCAAAGGGGCAGGTGTAAGTCCCCTGCCAAATCACGGGGCTCAAACCTGACACCTCTGCCAGGTTGCGTAGCGCTTGGGAACTCCCGCGCAAGCACAAGGTGGACGAATATGAAATTTCGCAAAAAACTTTCGCTTATATTTCTCCTCGTCAACCAATCGTAACCTGCCGCCCCACCTACTTCAACAGTACCAATATGCAACCTGCCGGTCGGGCTTTAATCGGGGGCTCGTTCTAATGTACCATTCACGTAGATTTTCTACCGTTTCGTCGGTTTTCGATATGACAATTTGTGAAACAAAATGATTATCGAACTTGTGGTATCGTAGTACTCCATGCAACGTAGGCAATATATATAGAGTGAAACCCTCCCTAGAATGTTAAGCAACTGATTGATGAATTTCATTCCGGCAGGGCAGCTTCGGATGGAAACGAGAAATAGATGGAACTTCAGAGTTGCGAGAACCTGGTCGTTCCACCCGCTTTCTCCAACCTTTCTACCACCTCCTCCTCTTAATCTCTCGTATTCTTCTTCCTCGATTCCTCAATCTCACGTCTTTCCCCTCAACTCCAGCAGTTCAATTCTAGCGTTCTAGCCAAGTCCATCCCCTAATTAGGTAGCATCTTCATTTCTCACTCATCGCGTCGTCAACCTCCTATTTTGCTCAGCATACTAGCCTTTCCCTTATTTCTTTCCCGAGTTCTCTCTCTTTTTTTACTCCATGTTTTCCTGTTTTCTAATATCTTATCTCTCTATGTACTCTACCTTGTTAAGGAACCACGGGCAATAAAGTTTCAGCTTGATTCAAGGTACGAATTCTACCCTCCCGCCATGCCATTCTCCTCTACTCTCTTCCATTATCAGAATAATTGAATAAAAGGTAAAGTGAGAGTACACACAAATATATCTAAGTTTTGTATCCTCTAAGAGGTGACTCTATACAGTCTATACAAACATGACAAATACACATGTTTGACACACCCCCTAGACTGCATAGGGGAATACCCTAAACAAGCAGCTCAGGGCGGCACTACTAGTCCAACCTCTGAGACAAGGGTCTGAGCGACCGGTCAGAAGGAGTACAGACAAGGCAAGCACAAGAGCAGGGCGGCACTACTAGTCCAGCCACTGGGAGAGGACACAAGTCCAGTCTTAGTATACATATAAAGGACAGTACAAAGTCAAGGTCCTAGCAAGTGAGAGGCTACAGGAACTAGACCAAGCTGTACACAGTGCCGCTGATGATCTTTAGGCGCAAGCGCCTTCGTAAAGATATCAGCCGTGTTGGCACCTGAGGCCAAGTGTACTACGCGAGCCTGACGTCGCTGCTGTAGCTCACGCAGGAGGAAGTACCGCAGCTGAATGTGCTTCGCTCTGCCCTCGAGTCGAGGCTCCTGACACAGGAGGATCATGGCCCTGTTGTCAGCGAACAGGACCGGGGCAGAGCTAGGCCGCTCACCTAAGTCAGTGAGCAAGAAGGTCAGCCAGCGGAGCTCCTGTGCCGCCATGGCACCGGCGTAGATCTCAGCCTCACAGCTGGACTGTGCAACAGACGAGGAGCGAGTAGCTCTCCACGAGACGGCACCTGAGCCAAGGCTGAAGCAGTAGCCCTGGGTAGACCGGAGTGTCTCAGCGTCGTCTGCCCACGAAGCGTCTGTGTGCCCAGTAAGGACCGCTGGCTTGCGTCCTCCTAGCACTAACCCCATGCCCGATGTACTAGCAAGATAACGCAGAACCCTCTTAGCGGCAGACCAGTGCTGCGGTCGGTGTCTGCCTGTGGCCACAAAGCGAGCCAGGATGCTGAGAGGGTATGCGAGATCTGGGCGAGTGCAAGTCATCAGGTACATGAGGCAACCCACCAGCTCTGCGTAGGGGCCGCTGGGCTCTACCAACTCCTCAGGCACTGGAGCGGAGAGCCTGTGGTCTACAGACAGAGGGATGGGCTATGCAGAGGAGAACTGAAGGCTGAACCTCTGAAGGACCTGGCGCACCAAGTGTGACTGAGTCAGGGTGATGGTGCGCGCAGCTCTGTCCCTGGAGATCTGCAAGCCAAGGTAACGTCGCAGTTCTCCAAGGTCAGTGCAGGTGTGTCTCTTCAGCAGCTCTGCCTTCACGGAGGCCAGCGCGTCCCTGTCTGCTGTGGCAAAGACCAGGTCGTCGACGTGGCTATCCACTGAAGGCTATCCACTGCGAGGCCCAGGGTCCCGAAGTCGCCTCAGCGTAAGTGCGAGGGGTCGGGATGTCAAAAGCGTCTGGGTCACCCTCAGGGACTAGCAGCATGGAACAGAGATGGGGAGCAGCCTCGGAGAGGAAAGCAAGCTCGAACTGGCGGTCCTCCAGGACGTCACTGCCAAGGGCAGGAGCACCCCCGACAGACGGAGGACAGGCAGGGTCAGAGACCAGAGCGGTGGAGTAGTCAAGGCGGCGGGTAGAGGCGAAGTCAGCGACAGCAGCGACAAGAGCGTCAAGGCACGAGACTGGAACAGACGGGTCGGTAACGAGAGAGGCAAGGACCCGAGGAACGAGAAGACGAGCGGCACGAAAGTAGTCGGACAGCGGGGGGGGCGCAACAACAAGGGAGGACGGAGGAGGCGACGGCAGAAGGGGAGGACGAGACGCGTGTGAACGAAGCAACATAGGGTGGGAGCGCAGGACAGGCGAGGCAGGACGAGCACGGGAGGGGCGGTGAGACCAGACGTGCGACGGAGGAGTCGGGTCAGGAGACAGGGGAGGGGACACAGGAGGGGAACGAGGGGGGAGACGGGCCGGGGACGAGTCCGGCGGAGGGAAAACAGGGCCGTAGACAGGAAGAGGAGGAGACGGTCGGGGAGGAACCGACGCAGGGTCGGGGGACGGAAGGCCGAGCAGGCGAAGGGCGGACACCGGCGGGGACTGCTGCTGCGGCGGCACAATGGCGACACCTGGACCGCAAGCTGCTCCTCGGCTACCACCGGCACTCTCCACACCCGCACCCCCAGAGGGACCACCCTCAGGGCGACCGGGACGAGCACCCCCAGAGTCAGCGAACGGGGGCTGCCACTGCGGCGGCGGTGGCGGCGGCGGCGACGGCGACGGCTGCAGTGGCGGCAGGGAAGGCGGAGGAGGGGACTGGGGAGGGGACACCTGGGGAGGGGCGGCCGGCGAGGACTGCACCGGAGGGCCACCAGAGTCAGAAGACTCCTCAACCGGGTCCACGGACGGAAGGGGGGTGACGTGGGACACACCAGAGGGGGCGGGACGGGGAGGAGGAGGAGGAGGGGCAGGGACTACCGGGGAAGGGGTGACCAGGAACAGGGGGGGGGTAACCGGGGGACCACGGTGGGGGAAGCGGCGGTAGTAGGAGACGGACTCGTCAAAGGTGACGTCACGAGAGTGAAAGAAGCGGTGAGACGGCGGGTGGTAAAAGTGCCAGTCGGACGCGTCAAGGGGAAAACCGAGGAAGACGCAGGGAAGGGTGCGGGCAGTGAGCTTGTCCGTGCCGGAGGCACGGACGTGAGCAAGGCAGCCCCAGACGTGGAACGCAGATGCGTCACCAGGAGACCCAGTCCACAGACGGGTCGGCGAAACCTGCGGCTGCTGAGGGTGCGGCCACAGGTTAAGCTGGTGAGAAGCGTAGCGCACAGCGAACGGCCACAGAAAATGGGGTGCACCGGCATGGACCATGGAGGTGCGAGCGACCTCCATGACCAAGCCGATGCGTCGCTCAGCGACCCCATTCTGCTGTGGGGAGTCCGGTAGGGTGAACGTCTGGGTGATGCCCTCCGCACGACAAAAGCGACCAAGGACACCTGAGGCAAACTCGCCACCACGGTCTGAGTGAAGACGCAAGACAGGGAGACCGCGGTGGACACGCGCAGAGACAAGCCAGGGGATGAGGGCGCCAGGCACGTCGGCCTTGCGCTCCAGGGGAAAGACTGTGGTGTA